CTTCTCTTCTGTATCTCTATCTAAGGGTATTGATCCGAATATGATGAGAGCTTGGGTGTTTAGTTGAGTTATAGATTATTCGACTCTCTATTTTGTTTGAGAAGAGGTATTAGTTTCTGGAACTAATGGGTGATGCTCAAATTTGTTTGTGACCGTGTGCAAATATGAATCCGTCATGTGATTGTTTGCAATTTTCATAGAATTCTTGTTTGTTTGTTTGGTTAAGTTCAAATTAAAAATGAACTTAGTAATCTCCCTTGATGTCTCTTGATCATTTTTGAATCGGTTTGCTTAGCTTTGAAATTCTGTAGCCACCGTGATTTTGCAAAGGATATTATGAATCTATATTTGAAAATTTTTAATTCCTTAAGGACTGCCAGTGTTGAAGTTTACGTGACCAACTAGTCTGATTTCACAGTACTCTGTTTTGCTTTGCCGATTTCGCCGTATTGAAATGAAGGCCTATGGTGCGAATTGAAGTGTTTTAGGTTGGGTTCAAGTCTCTACAAAATTTATTGGTCTTTGTTTATCTGATGTTCCCTTAAGCTGCTTATAACTATTGTTGTTGAAAACACAAGTTTGGTTCTGGCGGATCTCTTCTTAGTATGTTATTAGTTTTACTTTTAGCAATTAGATTGACTGATTCCCTAAGATGAGGATTCATAGGAGTTGTCTTGTCTCCATGGTTTAGTTTTTTTTGGACAGTTTCCCTTTGTTAAGCTTGTGTATGAATCGGGTGCATAGATCTGTCGAACGTTAACTTGATTAATTCTAGTTCCCGGTGTTTGTTTCTCCATTAAACCGTGATGTTATTTTGCCTGTAGAACTTCAACTTAAGTTTAATGCTTTATTATGAATTAATTAATCATGAAGTTGTTGGCTCTTGTTCACTGTGAAGTTCCACGAATTGCATGATTTAGGTGAAAACTAATTGATATATGCTGCCAAAATTCTGAGCAAAGAAATTGCTTTAGTTGTAAAGAAAATCGTTGGTTATGTTTAAAGGTTCGTGATATGCTTTTAACATAGTGTATTTCTAAGAAATCAAGGCGTCAGTGGGCATGGGAATATCATTATTGCTCTCGTCATATTCGAACTTACCTCTCTTTATCTTACATTATTTCCTCGTTGCCTTTCCTCTCTTTGTTTGCTTGTTTAATGCATTTGTTTGGATGAGCGCTTCTGGGACGTTATGTTAGTTTTGCATGATTAAAATTGACCTCTAATGATTATTGGGTATGGGAGCGGGAAAGACCAGCTCATTAGTGATTAAATTTACTTACATGCTTTAGAATCGAGTTCGGTCTAATAAAATAAAAAATTGAAAACAAAGCATGAGCATGAATTGAGTGTTTTGTTATTTAGTTATTTTATTTACTTTATCTTATTATATTAATCGCTTGTAGCATGCTTAGACCGCAAACCCTCAGGTAGGCAATCTTTAGGATTTTTGTTTGATTCAAGACGAGAGGTCACCCCTTTTAGTTCATATTCACGGGAATGCCCTGTAGACTTTGTAAATATTTTGTTTAGGGGGATGCCCCGTAGCACATGTAAATAGAATTGAAGGCGGATGACATTCTAGAAACGTAGTATAGAATTTAGTGTTTTTGTTTTACTTTTATTTTCCTTTATTTAGGTAGGGGCGACCTTAAACCTTTCTGTATTTATTTATGCTTTCGTGTGTTTTACCTTAATTAGAATATTCTTAAAAGCTAACTAGATCGGGTACGCAACCGTGACTTTCACGGGACTTGGGGAGTGCCTAACACCTTCTCCCCGAGTCAAATAAATCCTCTTACCCGAATCTCTAGTGCAGACTTAGTTTTGGAGTCCAAAGTGTTTTAAAAGGAAAAATAATTTTTGAAAACGGTGACCTGGCACACCGAAACCAATGTCAGGTGGCGACTCTGAAAAAATCCTTTTGAACACAAATTTTTGTCACTTTCTAATTGAAAACCCTTTTGAGCTTTACAAATCACCTTTTTGTATTATTAAGAGGGTTAGTGAAGTAAAAAAGGGGTGTGACACCTTTGGCAACTCTGCTGGGGATTTGCAGGTTCGGGCTGATACTACGATCTTGTTGGCTTTTTGGAATATTCGGTTGAGGTTTTTATGCTTTTTTTTAGTTTTATCTGATTTTTTATACTTTGTTATTATTTGCTAGTTGTTTATGTGTTTACCATTTTCTTTTTATGTGTTTACTGCTTTATAACTGTCATCATATGCATGACCCAATCAATTCTTTCTGCAAAAGTCTCGGAGTACGCGTCGCGTACACGAACTCTTTGTTGAGTCACCCTTATTTTAGGAGGGGGGCCGTCCTACGCATGGAGTGGGTGGAAAGCTTGAGCAGCCACCATCGACCATACGCTCCCCCGAATTGCCTTGTTAGTGAACCCCAAACTTAGGTTAGCCTTTAGGTCATTCTTATTTGCATCATGTCATTTAGACCTAGCAGGGCTCGGTCCCAGGTATCGTGTCCCGTTGTAGGAGGTCTATCCAAATTATGTCAAAACGGGCCCATGGCCCAAAAAGAAATTTAATCATCACTATGTGCTACATGTTGCATTCTTCAAGGGTAAAAGGGTCATTTGGCGGACCAATGATTGTTGAGAGTAGATGAGAAAGAAAAGAGGGTGAAGTACAAAGATGAAGCAAGTAGGGCCCAATTATATTTTTCTTTCACAACTTTTTCAAGAAAAGACCAAGAAAAATAAAAATGAAAAGTCCAAAAAGATTTTACATATTTCATCATTTTTCAACAAAAAAAAAAATTAAAGACAAATATTTTCTTCAAATTAGTGTTTTTTTTAAATTCTCTCCCGTATCCAATATTTCCGAACTACGCATACCTGATTCTCGTCTTTCAGAGCGCGATACGTAGGCAACCCACATAGGGTCCGGTCTTCCAAGTGAGTCTTAGGATCTTGGCTTCGGGGGTCGTAGCCAAATCTTGCATTTCTAGCCACTTTGGCCACATCGCCAATTCTTGCAAAATGGGGTCATTTTCGCAAAGGTGGTTCAGTGACCCATGTCTTAGAATTTTAGTACACAACTAAGTGTCCCATTCCTTTAAGGTCCGTCCTTGATAGGACATAAGTGTGTCAGGCCGTACACTCCTATTAGGGTGATGCGACAGTTAGGCAGGAGACAAGAGGAGCCGCCAACTCTGAATCTTCGGAGGCACATCATGAATTTTACAAGAAAGGCAGCCGATGAAATCAAGTACGTGCAATACTGGAACAACGCAAAGAGGATGAAGGAAAATACATTAGTAGAGGACATTGGCAGGCCCGAGTGTACTCAGGAGTACTTGATCTGGTTGCAGTCTATCCCACCAGGGGTTAGCACCCCATTGCCAGCCCAACTTAGGGGTCGGGCAGTTGAGACAAATGATTTTGAGGAGGCTTCAGATCAAGATCCTTGGGGTCAGCTTGAGTTGATAAAGTCTCAGTTAGCGGGATTGGCAGCAAACGTGAGGCAGCATGGCCAGTATTTGTTTAGGGTCGGCCTTCAGGAGGCGGGGGCACACGCCAGGATCTTTATTCCCAGCATCGGTCTTTCTTTACGAGGCATGTTACAGAGTTTGAGCATGACCGACAGCCCAAGATCATCCCAGCCAGGACCGTCGCATTCGGGAGCCGCTTGAGGAGGCATTTTATTTATGTGCTTGGAGTTTGTTTTATGTTGTCTTTTACTTTCGTATCTTGTCTAGGAGTACTAAGTCCTTTAGGTAGTGTCAGAGTCTGCCGTAGGTGTAGTTGAGTCTGTCGAGTTTTTCATTATCGTACTTCCCATTATGTTTAAAACCAAAAAGTTTTTAAATGAAAAATCCAAGATTTTTATTTTTAGTTTACTTTCCATCATTTTTCCAGAACTACGCTTGGTCTGATTCATGTGAAACATGATACGTAGGCAACCTACATCGGGTTCGATCAAATCATTTAAAAGAAAAGAGAGACGGAATTGTGGGGTGCGAGAAATGAAAAAAAAAAACAAAAAAAAGAATTAGAATAGAGGGATAAGCCAAAAGAAAAGAGTGGGAAGAAAATGATGTAGGCTAAGAGGTGCTAGAAAAGAAAGAGAAGAGAAGATTGAAATGAGCAAATTGGGATGATACCATATGACCCTGCGACCCTCAAAGCTATTTTAGAACCGCTAATTGTTGCTAGGTGCATTGCACGTAACGTGATATTATTATAGGATAAATGCCCTAACGCTAACATGGTGGCTTTGTTTTGTTTTTCTCGGTTACCTTTATTCAACTTCTGGAAGGTGGTTAGTTTGTTGGCATCCTGGCAAGTTATACATACAACACCAGGTCAAAGTGCCAGATAGTCATGACTAGCAAAGAAATAGACATAGGGGTTGTAGACCCACCAAGGGAGATTGTAGAATCAGAATCGGAACTGAACGAGGAGGTCCGAAGGTTGAAACATCATATGGGAGCAATGTATCAGGCCTGGATTAAGGGACACCCTCCACCTTCATTCCCTACCAACTATGTAGAAAACCCTGCTTCTATTCCACCACTATCCCAAGCCCAGATGCCAAGTACCGTTGATCTCTCCCCACAACATGCACCAGGATTCACCCCTTACCACTCCTACCCCGGCACTTCGGCCCAAATTTTCCATGCTCCACCAGCCAAAAAAACTTCATACCCTGCTTCGACATCTGCTCCTATTTTTGTACCCCCTCCACAAGCTACCCTCCAATAATCCTCTAGTAAGCCCGCGTTCCCAGCTCCAGATACCCAATACTATGCCCTGGAACCCACCTTCAAAGTCCCAGATCCTTACCCCTACACTACTCACTTTGAGCCTCATGTTAAAATTGAGAAACCACCCAAGAATGCGGAGCAGGAGGAGATATTTAGGAAAGTAAAGTGTCTGGAGCAATGATTGAGAAATATGCAAGGGTTAGGAAGACAGGTGAGTGTGGCTTATAAGGATTTGTGTTTGTTCTCTGATGTCTAACTGCATGCCGGGTTCAAGATGCTCAAGTTTGACTTGTATGACGGACATGGGGATCCTGTAGCTCATCTGAGAGGTTATTGCAGTAAAATGAGAGGCGCCGGAGGAAAAGACGAATTACTGATGGCGTACTTCAGCCAGAGTCTTAGTGGGGGAGCTTTAGAATGGTACACCCGCCAGGACGCCAGCAGGTGGTACACATGGGACGATATGGCTAAGGCCTTTGCTCGGCACTTTCAGTACAATATAGACATTGTCCCAGATCGCCTATCTCTGACCAAGGTGGAAAAGAGGCCCAGTGAAAGCTTTAGAGAATATGGGTTCCGATGGATGAATCAAGCCGCGCGGGTCAATCCTCCAATGGAAGAAGACGAGATGGTTCAATACTTTCTTCAAGCCCTGGAGCCTACTTACTTCGGCCATTTGATCTCAGCCATTGGTAAGTCTTTCAATGATGTGGTAAAGATGGGAGAAATGGTGGAAGAGGGACTCAAGTCAAGCAAGATGATGAGCTACTCCGCCATAAAAGCAACCACAGTCGCAATCCAGGGTGGCACCGGGAGTTTGCTAGGCAAGAATAAGAAGGATGATGTCGCCATGGTTGTCTCTGGACCATGGCGTGGACCGAGAGGTTCACCTCACTCGTATGCTCAGCCTCGGCCCCAACCTCAAGCCAACACCCCGGCTCCATATACTCCACCCCAACATTACTTTCCCCCGCAAGACCCCCAAAACTCAGCCAGACCACCCCAATACAATGTTTACCATGCACAGTCATATGCTCAACCCCCTCCTTACCTGCAATGGCGTGCTACAATTCCACAAAATACTTATCCATCTCTACAACCCTACCAAATTCCTACTGGTCCAAATTTTCGACCAAGGCCGAAGTATAGAAGGGAAAGGCAGCAGCGAAAACAAACTTTTACCCCGCTTGGAGAGTCCTATGCCAGTCTGTTTCAAAGGTTGAGGCAGTTGGGCGTCTTGAGGCCGATTGAGTCAAAGATACCAAATCCCTTTCCAAAGAACCTTGATTATTCCCTTAGATGCGCCTATTGTTCTGATGCTCCAAGGCATGACATAGAGAAGTGTTGGCATTTGAAAAGGGCAATCCAGGAGCTCATTGATACAAACCAAGTTGTACTCCAAAGCCCAGACACGCCGAACATCAACCAAAACCGTTTGCCAGCCCATGCAGAGACGCATATGATTGAAATAGTTCATAAGGATGGGGAGCCCAGGAAGTCTTCCAAGTCCATCATGATGATTCAGTCCAGTGAAAAGTAATTTGGTTAAAGTTCCAGACTCTACCAAAGCAATGCCCTTGACAGTTGAAGGGGTGACAGAGAAGCTGAGCTCGCTCTATTTGAAGCCATCGGTGTTGGTCGTGAAAGGGCCTTCAAAAGATATTGGGGAAAGTCAAGAAAATCCAAAAGTGGTAGTTCCAGGGGTCCCAAGTAAGCCTGTCATAGTTGTGGAAGGGGCTCTTATTACTCCTATGTCATCAAACTAGTGACCTAGCTGCCAGTGGTTGATAACAAGACCGTTCCGTGGAATTACAAACAAGTGATAGTGACATACAAAGGAAAAGAGGTGGAGGAAGAAGTCAATGAAACTGGAGGATTGACTCATTCTGTGAGATGTTTTGCCCCAGAAGAATTAAGGAAAGCCAAGGCGTTCAAGGATAGTCAAATACCTTTAAAGAAACCGGTCACTGAAGAAGAGGCTGAAGAGTTCCTGAAAATGATGAAAGTGCAAGACTATTTCATTGTGGAGCATCTAAGGAAAACACTGGCTCAGATCTCTCTTTTGTCTTTGTTGATACATTCAGATGAACATCGCAGGGCCCTGATGAAGATTTTGAATGAGGCGCATGTTCCTGATAAGATCACAGTGAACCACTTGGAAAAGATAGCTAACAAGATCGTCGAAGTAAACAGGATCACTTTCTCAGAGGATGAACTTCCTATGGAGCGTATAGAACACAACCGAGCTCTTTATCTCACGGTGAAGTGCGAACATTCTATTGTCTTAAGGGTGTTGTTTGATACTGGCTCTAGTGCAAATATTTGCTCTTTGTCTACTCGGCAAAAGTTGAATATCAGAACAGAAAGAATCCACATGAACAGTGTATGTGTTCGAGGCTTTGATGGGGGAGGTAAAGATTCTATTGGTGATATAATGATCGAATTGTCGATAGGGCCAGTTGAGTTCACTATGGAATTCCAAGTGTTAGATATGGCTGTCTCCTACAATTTGTTGTTGGGCAGGACCTGGATATAAGCTGCTAAGGCAGTCCCATCATCTTTTCATCAAATGGTAAAGTTCGAATGGGACAGGCAGGAAATAGTTGTGCACGGTGATGAGGAATTATCAGCTTGTAATGACACAATTGTTCCATTTATTTAGGCTGAAGTTGATAAGGGACCTTGGATCTATCAACTTTCGAAACAGAGTCTGTTGAGAAGATTCCTGAAGGAAAATGCATTCCGGGTCCTAAGTTATCCTCCGCGTCTGTCATGGTAGCAAATGAAATGTTGAAGAATGGTTTTGTGTCAGGTAAGGGTCTGGGCTCATCTTTGTAGGGTATTATGCATCCAGTGCGCCCCCGTGGAAATCTTGGTACATTTGGTTTGGGATTCATGACCACAGAGAAGGACATGAAAAGGGTTAAAGTCTGAAATATAAGGTATGTTCACTCCCCAAGCCTGTCCAACACATCTCTAAGTCTTTTTTCAAGCCAAGGACCAAAAAACCTCCAATATCATCAGTCCCAAAACCTGTGGTCGATGTTGATGAAGAGCTGATCAAGAGGTTCCAGAGTCTGTTTGATGAGATTAATATGGTAGAAGTTGGTGAAGGTTCTAGTAAAGCAGATGTGCAGCTCGTTGGGCCAAATGTGAAGCTTAGCAATTGGGAAGCTACTACTCTCCCCGCCAGGAAGGAGTTTTAGTAGTTTGCTTTGTTTTCCTTTCTGTTATTTGAGTTATTCTAGGGTTGTAATCCAGATTTTTAGTTTGCTTGTCTTAATGTTCAAACGCTTCTATCCTTTTATTTTCAATGAAATGCAATTTCCCGTTTTCCATTATTTCTAATAGTGTTGATTTTTTTTTTCTTTTGTACAGTTCTTTTTATGCTGGTTGCAATGACATGACATGCATGAGGAATTTTCAGCCAAGTCTTAAAAGCCAATCTGATTCTGAAATAATAATCCAAGAAGTAGAGTACGATGATGAAACAAAATATGATTAGGAAGCAGCATTTGAGGAAATCAGTAAAGAGCTAAACCACTTTGAAGAAAAACCAAAGCCTAATTTGAATGAAACTGAAGCAATCTATTTAGGAGACCAGGATAATGTTAGGGAAACCAAGATAAGTGTTCATCTTGAACCGCAAGTTAAGGAAGAAATAATCAAAATATTGCTTGAGTACAAAGGTGTCTTTGCATGGTTGTATGATGATATGCCGGGTATGAGCACCGATTTGGTAGTTCATAAATTGCCAATTGATCCAGCCTTCCCTCATATCAAGAAAAAGTTAAGAAAGTTCAAGTCCGATATGAGTGTGAAGATAAAAGAAGAAGTCACAAAGCAGCTTGATGCAAATGTCATTCGGGTCACTCGATATCCCACTTGGTTAGCTAAAGTTGTGCCGGTACAAAGAAGGATGGTAAGACCAGGGTATGTGTTGATTACCGTGATCTTAACAAAGCAAGCCCAAAGGATGAGTTTCCATTGCCGAACATTCACATTTTGATCGATAATTGCGCCAAGCATGAGATTAGGTCTTTTGTGGATGGCTACGTGGGATATCACCAGATCTTGCTGGAAGAGGAACATGCAAAAAAGACAACGTTCGAAGAATGTCATTATGTTCGAAGAATGTTGGGGCAACTTACAAGAGGGTGATGACTACCATATTTCATGACACGATACACAAGGAGATTAAAGTTTATGTAGATGATGTGATCATAAAGTCAAAGAAGCAGTCTGACCATGTCAAATATTTATGGAAGTTTTTCCAAAGGCTCCGCAGGTATAACCTCAAGCTCAACCCAGCGAAATGTGCATTTAGTGTCCCGTCTGGGAAACTATTGGGATTCATCGTCAGTCGACGCGGTATTGACTTGGATCCGTCGAAGATCAAGGCCATTCAAGAGCTACCACCGCCTAAGAACAAAACAGAGGTGATGAGCCTGCTCAGAAGGTTGAATTACATCAGCAGGTTTATTGCTCAACTCACGACAACTTGTGAGCCTATCTTTAAGCCGTTGAAGAAGAATGCTGCAGTTAAGTGGACTGGCGAGTGTCAAGAAGCATTTGATAAGATTAAAAGGTACCTGTCGAACCCACTTGTGCTGGTCCCACCAGAGCCTAGGAGACCTTTAGTTCTCTATTTGACAGTCCTGGATAATTCTTTTGGATGTGTATTAGGTCAATGTGACTTCACGGGAAAGAATGAGCAAGCAATCTATAATCCCAGTAAGAAGTTCACTCCCTATGAGGTTAATTACACTCTTCTTGAGAGGACATGTTGCGCACTGACTTTGGTGGAACAAAAGTTGAAGCATTATCTTTCGTCCTACACTACTTACCTCATTTCTCGTATGGATCCTCTAAAGTATATCTTTCAGAAGCCTATGCCCACAGGAAGACTTGTAAAGTGGCAGATTTTACTCACAGAGTTTGACATCATCTATGTGACTCGGACCGCGATGAAAGCCCAAGCCTTGGCCGAGAATCCGATGGATGAATAATATGATCCACTAAAGACTTATTTTCTTGATGAAGAAGTGATGTATGTTTACGAGGTGGACCATGATGAAAAGCCAGGTTGGAAACTCTTCTTTGATGGAGCTGTTAACATGAAAGGTGTCGGAATAGGTGTTGTACTCATTTCTAAAACAGGGCAACACTACCCTGTAACAGCTCAACTTTGATTTTATTGCACCAACAACATGGCTGAGTACGAAGCATGCATTTTGGGTTTGAGGTTAGCTGTAGACATGGGAGTCCAAGAAATACTAATTATGGGAGATTCAGATTTGTTGGTTCACCAGATTCAAGGAGAATGGGAGACTCGGGACTTGAAGCTCATACCGTACCGATAATGTTCGCACGATCTTTGTCAACGATTCAGGTCGGTAGAATTCAGACATATTCCCAGGATTCATAATGAGATTGTCGATGCTTTAGCTACTCTGGCGTCAATGTTACATCATCCGGACAAGGCTTATGTTGACCCCGTGCATATCCAAGTTCGTGATCAACATGCTTATTGTAATGTGGTTGAAGAGGAAATTGATGGTGAACCTTGGTTCCATGATATCAAGGAATACATCAAGTCGGTGGTATATCCAGTACATGCTACAGGTGATCAAAAGAAAACCATTCGACGTCTGGCTAGTGGATTTTTCTTAAGTGGGGGAATCTTGTACAAGAGGACTCCAGATCTAGGACTATTGAGGTGCATAGATGCTAAACAAGCTTCGACTATCATGGCCAAAGTGCATTCCGGAATTTGCGGGCCTCATATGAATGGGTATGTCTTGGCGAAGAAGATACTTCGAGCAGGTTATTATTGGCTCACCATGGAACAAGATTTCATCAGCTTTGTTTGCAAATGTCATCAATGCCAGGTGCACGATGATTTGATTCAATCCCCGCCATCTAAGTTGCATACAATGTCTGCACCTTGGCTATTTGTTACTTGGGGCATGGATGTCATTGGAACAATTGAGCCGGCAGCATCAAACGAGCACAGGTTTATTCTGGTGGCCATTGATTACTTTACCAATTGGGTCGAAGCTGTAACTTTCAAGTCCATGACCAAGAAGGCAGTGGTGGATTTTGTTCATTCAAATATCATTTGCAGTTTCGGAATTCCTAAGGTAATCATCACAGACAATGCTGCCAACCTCAACAGTCACTTGATGAAAGAGGTATGCCAGCAGTTCAAGATTATGCATCAAAACTCCACTCCTTATCGTCCCAAGGCGAATGGAGCTATTGAGGCTGCTAACAAGAACATAAAGAAGATACTTCGCAAGATGGTGAAAGGTTCTAGGCAATGGCATGAAAAGTTGTCGTTTGCCTTATTGGGTTATCGCACTACTGTTCGCACTTCACTATGTGCAACTCCTTATTTGCTGGTATATGGAAATGAGGTAGTTATACCTGCAAAAGTTGAGATTCCATCCCTTCGGATCGTTGCAGAAGCTGAAATCGATGATGATGAGTGGGTCAAAACCCGGCTAGAGCAATTGAGTTTGATTGATGAGAAAAGATTGGCTGCAGTATGTCATGGTCAATTGTATCAGAAGAGAACGACATACAACAAGAAGGTGCGTCCTCGGAAATTCGAAGTAGGTCAGCTGGTATTGAAACGCATCCTTCCACATCAGTCTGAAGCTAAAGGCAAGTTCGCCCCAAACTGGCAGGGGTCGTTCATTGTGACAAGAGTGTTGCCGAATGGTACTTTGTATTTAACATACATAGAAGGCAAATGTGTAGATATGGCTATCATTCTGATGTAGTCAAGAGGTACTATGTATGAGTTCTTTGCTTATCTTCAATTGCATTTTGTACTTGGCATTTTCTAAGTTGAAATGACGAAACCTTTTTGTTCCACTACCCAAACACTTTCATCCTTTGCTACTCCTTTTGAGCCTTATTTATTTTCTTTCATACCCCTCTTTTGGAATCAGGAGTAGAACTAGAGAATTGAAAAAAAATGAAAAAAAAGAGAAAAAGAAAAGAAAAGAAAAGAAAAAGGAAAAAAAAGAAAAGAAAGAAAGAAAAAAGGAAAAAAAGCAACAAAAACAAACAACTTATAGTTGAACTATGTTCGACCTGATTCCTTTTAAGGATACGTAGGCAGCCTTACACGGTTCGGTCCCCTCAAAATAAAAATCCAATATTCCCCAGACCCAAAAAGGCTGGGGCAGAATTTTGGTTTTGCAAAAGATCTGATTCCAAAAGTTGTAATTTTGAACCCTTTTCATCTTAAATTATTTTGAGCCTTCATGCCACCCTTTCTGTCTAGCCTTATCCAAAAGCCTACATTACGGTCCAAAGAAAGACCTTCCGATCAATATTTGAGGATGCCAAGTCAAGCGAGATAGAGGTATAATTTACATCATGGGTAACACTTTGTTCATGGGCACAAAGTAAAAATGGATAAAATGAGAGAGTCTTATTGGTGAAAACCCTCACGGGAACCGTAAGACGGCGGTGAGCTGAGAAAATTTAAAATGAGAGAGTCTTATTGGTTAAAACCCTCGCGGGCACCGTAAGGCGATGGTGAGTTGAGAGATGAATAAATGAGAGAGGCTTGTTGGTGAAAACCCTTCGGGGCACTACAAATCGAATGAGGCTCGAGACTTTACAAAGAAATTGGATCATTGAAAGCCCGATTTTGAAGTATGAAGACATGACGTGAAATGAAAATATGATTGGTTGGATGGATTAGGCTGATCAATCCGAAATGCATGTCATGATCATTTGAGCCAGCCGCTTCACTCAGATAAGTCTTTTTTTCCCATTCTTCTTCAGATAGTCATCTTTGTTCAAAAATTTTCTTTGTTCCTTTTGCCAAAAATCACTTCACTATGCTCTTTGAGTCTATCTTTATGAGTCTCATTCGAGTTAGCCCTTGTTGAACAAGTAGGAAAGGATTCCAAAGCCTACTACCAGCTTTCAAATTGCACAAAGCAGAGTTCGGCCAAGCACATCACAAGTGACATGATTTAGAACGAGTTGTGTGGTGATAATTGAAGTTCAGGCGGTAAGGTGATTCTTGAATTTTGAGAAAATGCAAAGATTCAGCAACTTTTAGAATGAAAACACAATGCAACAAGTGAGTGTAAGAGATTCAGGTCATTTAGAGGTTTTGTGGTCCAGTTCAATCAAAAGGTCAAACAATTCCTTGCTGGCCCGAAACAGCTAATCAGAA